ATTTTAGATGAACAGCACCCACTTGATCCTCTTAATGTTATAATGATTGGTGAGATCAGATTAATTACTGCAAAACATGGGAGGTTCTCAGATGCAGATGTTGGTCATGCAACATCATTTGGTGAGAAATTACTACAACTACAACCATGTCGAGCATATGTATATGTACTTCTTACAGATTGTCATGTGCTTATGATAATTCATGTTAGCAAAATTAGTGATGATAAATTTCAGTACAAATATACACGACTTGCAAAATTAGAATCTGATGATGGAAAACCAGCTGAAGGATGGAAGCAATTAGTTGTATTACTGTTGCAAAAGCCAGAGACACTTGGTTGGATAACATCATATGTGTGCCATAAAGGAGAAGAAATCAAATTATCAAGGTCAATTGGTGTAGGAAGAACATCTGTGGTATATAAAGGCATTTATAATGATAATGAGGTGGCTGTTAAGGTATTAAAAGACCCTCAATTTCTTCATTGCTTTAAACTGGAAATTAATGTGATGCAAAAATTAGCTGAACTGAATTCAAGTGTCCTTCTCAAATGTCTGATCACAAATATTGATGACTATGATTCTGATGATTCTGATCCAATTTTTGTTGTCTTGTTTCCACTGTGCAAACAATATAAAAACTGGAGAAAGGAAGACATTCCTCCCATCATTGATACTTTGAAAAAGGTGCATGATATGGGTATAATACATCGTGATTTTCGAAAATGGAATCTATTAAGAGATCAAGATGGTAATGTTCATATAGCAGACTGGGGATTTGCAGTGGATGTTAATGAATCAACTACTTTTGCTGGATCTTTGGAGACACTGTCAGATGATGCACTACAAAATATTATTGATGAGGAGGATATTACATATACTTGTAGTAATGAGTTAATCTCAGTGGTTCGTTCTTTTTATTTAATGGTTTTTCGACCATTGATGAAGCGCCCTCCCTTTGGAGAAAATAAAAATGGTATCAAGGAAAGAGCAAAGGAAATCAAGGAGTTTTGGATGAATAATGCACAATCATCAATATGGTTAAATATACTAAAAGCAGCTACAGATACTGACTATGACAATTTAAAAAAATTGCTAATGGAATTATTCTAGAAAGAACAATATAGTAGAAGCTTGCTTTTGATCAACAATGTTCTTTGTATTACATACTTTATTTCAAAACAATAAAATTCTTAAAACAAGTTTTCAGTACTTCAAGAGTTAACAAATAGAAACGTGTTTCTAATGAAATAAACCATCATATAAGACCACACTCTCTATATATTACATCTCTCCCAATTAATTATCATCTGGTTATTATGACAAATGTAATAGTACGTAATTTGTTAATATTGTGAATTATTGATTTTAGATTGTGTTGTACTGTGTTTAATATGTAAATTATTCAAGTTCCTTTTTAATTCTAATATTAATATGTTACTAGTAACCATCACCTTAGCAACCAAAACTAATTTCTCTAATGGTGTCTACCCACTTCTTAAGATAATTATCTTAAGTCCAATTCCTTTTCAAATTAAAGAATAACTTATGTTTGGACCCTCAATAGAATTCCTTTATTCTATTATAATATATATAACCAGTACAAGTCACTCTTGTTATAATGACACTCCATGTGCAAGCAAAAAATGTCATTATAATGGGAGTTCATACAAAAGTCATGTGAGAATCATTATCATATGATTTTATAAGTTTTTATTTTATTAATTATTTTGAGTATATAGACATTCAGTACTGTACTCTTTTGCATTCCTGTACTGTATGGTCTACAAAATAGAAATTTTTTTAAAAAAGTCATACACCAACATACAGTACACAGCACCCCCACCAATCAAATGGATTCTGTACTTGTAACATTTAATACAGAAATGCTGTTTTGCAGATCATATGGTACAGGAATGCAAAAGAGTACAGCAGTGTTGAAAATTCAATCGGGGTGTATCACATTACACCAATTTTACATGTGCTCAAAAATATTTCAGTACTATAAAAACAATAATAGAGAAATGAATTTATTCAGTTATGGTAACATATTTTGGATACTGATGGTGACTTTTCTTTTAATTATCCAACTATAGTAATAGTTCTTAAAATAGCGCTTTTTATACCTCTTTCTAATGCTCATGTAGAAAGAATATTTTCTCAAATGAAATTAATTAAAAACAATTTGAGAACTAAAATGCATTAGATGATCATTAACGGTTTTATTAAATGGTCCAGAAATTGAACATTTTTATTTTGTAAATTATTTCTTTATAATAAAAAAAATAGACATGCACACAAATTGTGTAATGTGATACACCCCTGATTGAATTTTCAACACTGGAGTACAGTACTGAATGTCTACCAACTGATTATTTTTGAACATAAAAATCTAAATTAATTTGTTTAGCCTCTCTAAAACTCTGACTTATTGTTTTTTTTTAATTCTTGTAAACTATCTAATAAGCAATCCTCCACTATAAACTTTGTACTTGTTCTTGTTGTATATAAGTAAGAAGGTTTATGCAATTTTTCAATGTGTCATTAGTATTAATATGAATAATATTTTCCTCCTCCTCCTCCTCCTCTTCTTCTTTTTCTTTAGTTATGTTTTATAGCTTCATCAAACCAAATTGCTGGAGTTTCTTCTAATTGTGGCCAATTTGCTTGCCAATTCTTTTTAAATTGAGAAGTTGCATCAACAGAAAGTCATTTGTTTGATTCTGATAAAATTACTGAAACTGTGCTTCAACTAATTTCAAAATCTTTGGCTAATTTATCTCAAGTTAAGCTAGGATCATTTTTAGCACACTTACATAGTTCTTTTTTTTGCAAAGCACTTAAAGAACTTCTTTTTTTGGATGAAGGTGCAGAGATTGAAGTCATTTTTAAACAAAATTTAATATGATTTTTAATAATTCATTGTCTAATTAACCAATTAGTCATAGTAATCAACGTTTTATTGTTTCAATTTTTTCAGAAATGATCAAATGTTTTTGATTGGTCATGCAGAATTTTCGTATTTTCTGATTTTTGCTATGTCATTAAATTGAAATTCGATTATTTCAAAAAAGAAAAATTAAAATAATTTATAGGGCCTAGTACTAGGCCACAAACCACACAGTCAACCCCGTTATTCCGTTTAAAATTAGTATTTTGGTTTAACAAATTTGGTTTAACAGGGTTGACTACACAGTTGTGTATTTTATTATCATTATGTTAACTAAAATAAAAAAATCTATTTTACTGTTTTTAGAAATAAACAATAATTCTATATATCTAAATTTATTTTGTTTTATCTGTTATAGTTCCAATTAGACATTTTAAAAAAATATAAGATCATCATTCTATTTTTTTTCCCTTTTTAAATATATGTATGTACCAATAATTCAATTAAAACTATTTATTAGATTTGGTGGTGGTTGCTACACAGTGAGGGAGGGTATCAAGCAAGAACGTAAGACATTCAATTATAAAAATTTTTTACTATGTAAATTCGAATTTTACTATCATCTACTATTACTATAGATCTGCAGCGACCAGTAATTTTTTTTAATTGCTTTTTAGAAATAAATAAAAATAACGTTTATAAATATGTAATAAAAAAAATAAATGGATCACGACAACATAGCGGGCTTTATCTGTGATTGGTTGATCCATAAAGAAATTGATTGGATAATTTTATAATATGCCGATCATT